AAGCAGAGGTAAAGGAACTCACTCAAAACACAGACAGCTGGAGGTCAGTCTTTAGAAATCACAGATGAGAGTATTTTTTTCAACAGGAGCACACTGGGTGTGTTTTCTCACATCGCTCATGGTTTGTTAGGCTCTAGTTTAAAGCATTTCAGTCCTCCGAGGGGTCCATGCTGCGACTGCCCGGTCTCCGGCTGCAAGTAGCTGCTGAATTGTTCAAGTGAACTGCTTATGAGCACCCTACAGGCAGAATTTCATTCAAAACCAGTAAGTGAAAATTATGATTAATGGTATATTTGCAGAAGTTATGATCAGTTTATGAATGATTCATGGAAGGAAAAAAAAGATGACTAAATAGACTATGAATATCATTTGCAAGCAATAATTTAAGCAACTTCATCCCCCAAAGTGAGGTCCTTCTAGTCTCATATTTGCCTAATGATAGACTGCAGTGCAAGCGGCGGGTGCTGTGTTGTGAATAATCTGTTTCTACACATCAACACATCAGAACACAGCTTTGCTGTGACAAAGGGAAGGTGCACTGCCCAAAGCTTCCTGCATGCAGAGGGCAGGCTTTCAAACAAATAAGTGTGTGCAAACCGAGCTCAGAGAGGTGAAGGCATCAGAGCGTTGAGTGGTGAAGCCCCGCTCCTGCTGCAGATGGACACACTGCGATTAGGAGCCAAGATAGAGGAGCAAGGTCTGAATCTACCATGCTTTCTCCCTGGGGGAGTGTAATTTACACCCTGATTATACGTTTCCTCTTTCAACTTCTCACTAAATGTCAACTGCCTTCAGAAACAGGATGTGAGATACTAGAGATGCTGTTCATGTATTATTTATTATTGTAATTCCTGTCTATAGGAAGGCACATCCGGACGCAGTCCCTGGATTTCAATGAAGGTCTGGCTTTTGGGGACTTTTTTCACTCAGTTTTTGAACTGGATTGATAAGGAAAGTGTGTGACTTTGCCCAAGGGTTCTCCATGAGTTCATGGGGTCAACCACCACACAATGGCAAAAGTCTGCTGGCTCTCCACTGTACCTTTTCTCTACGGATTGGGTTTTCTCCCTGTTTCTCCTCTGTGCCAACTGTCTGGGGTCATCACTAACGCCTTACCCATTGCAACTGGGGACAGCTGCATTTCAGTGGGTTAGTAGAAGCACGATGCCTGAAGTGGTTTATGGATGTATAAACAGGACAAGGTTTGTAGAAAAAGGCAAAATTCTATACTAGAACCAAGTAGTAAAAATTCCAGGTGAACTTCAGGGCCAAAAAAGCCCCTCTCCAGGTCTGTCATGGAGGTAGCAAACATCAAATGAAACCCATGGTAGGGGCTGTTGTTCAAAGGTAAACTAAATTCCCTAATTCAGTTAAAAATGTGACATCAGACTGACATAAAATCTAAGTGACTTCTTATCCCCACACTTTACATGGCTTTACATCTGCCTCAGCTATGTAAGATATGCAGGAGTGATGGCATCCCTTGGAAGAAGACAAAAAAGACAGGTTCTGCTAGTTCATGTATTGAAAACGTATTACCTCAGGTAGGAACAGGGTGCAAGTGGCTAAGCCACTGATGATCTGAGCAATTGATAAGGACATCGGCAATTCTCGAGAAAAAAATTGCGCAAAGTCCACTTGTCTTTGCAGCCCCGCTCACATTGCAGCTCTCACCTTTTCTCTTTCTCTGAAAACCCACCCAGGGTGAGCTTTCTGTACGGCCCCTACTCATGTTCACTGTGGCCACTGGAAGGGCACCCTCCCCTTTTCTTCCCAGTATGTACAGTACTAATGAGATTTCTTACCAGCCACATTGAGCTCAGGCATCTCTTTAGGTGTACATGACAAGAGTCAGCCACTGGAAAAAGGAGAAAAAAAAGGTGCCTTTAGATAGTAATGTTACACATGTGTCTCTACCTTTAGGCTGGGACCCAGTGACTATGGTCCTTTTGTCCTGCACGGGACAGTTGAGGGGGTTTGGAACTGCCTTTTTCCCTTATTGCGATTCAGACCTACAAACACTTTCCAAATGTTGCTTTCCATGATAAATCATTACAGCAGTTGCATCAGGAGCAATTGCTGGGAAAGGACAGCACCTGCATGATTGCAAGTGGAAGGGATGGCAAACTCTGGGAACGTGGTTATCCTACAGAGTACCCTGTGAAACAGGTTCAGGGACTCTGCTTGGAAAATGCTCAGCTCTCGGTGCAACAAAGATTTAATTAACTATGAGCCACTGAACTAAGCACAGAGTGTAAGCACGAGCCAGCAAGATTGTAAAAGGTTTAAAAAAAAAATCATTTTAAACACTGTATTGTCAAATAACAGTCCCCACACTGATAAAATGCAGCACTCGGGCATGTCACTGTGGAGCACAGCAGGATTTTTGCTTCAGACTAGTTGATAAAAAGCTTGATGTATCCCATTTGGCTAGCTATCCTTCAGGCTGTGCTTTTAAGACAAACAGCAGCAGCAAGCATTTGTCTGCTATTTCTTCCTTAAAACCAAGATGTTTTGCAATTCAGAATTAACAGATGGGACAGTAAGAAATGAGAGCATGGGTTTTTCTTTTTGTCACTTCCTCAAAGTCACTTTGAGCAATGTTTCCAGGCTGGTGTCAGTAAAGGAGGACTGTCTGCTTTGAACATGGATGGCCACCACTGAGCTGTGCTCACCCTGCTGAGGCTGCTTGACTGGGGTCTGGGATCCCCAGGGAAATACCTCCTGGCTGCCAGGCAGAACCCTCGCTGCTGTTGGTGTTGGAGGCAAAACCCCCAGCAACATACGTCGCACATCATCTTTAACTTCACCCTCCAGCTAACATACTCTGTGGTCCCACTTTCGACCTGGAGAGAAGAGAAGGAGCATCCTCACCTCCATTGCTGTCATCAAAATTTGTGATCCACCTTCTGCCAAGTTTTGAAATGCATCTAGGGGTAGAACAAAGAAAATTGCATTTAACGAGGAGGAAGGAAGAATCCAACAAAGATATAGGCTGTGGCAGCTGAGGAGCAGAGTTGCAATGCTCTACCCAGCTCAGGTGTCCACACACTGTCCTGCCTAGCCACATCTCATTTCTGTGCTGGGTACCCCTTCAGACTTGTCCCTTGGATAACAGCCTGTGAAGGCATCCCAATTGCAGGGCCAGAATCTGGCAGAAGTGTAGGGACAGCGAGCGTTTAGTGTGACTGCTTTCATCTACTCTCATTATTTGTTCCAGCAGTAGCTCCCATCTGAAGACTGACAGGAGAACGGTGAACTAATGAAACACATCTTCCCACAGGGAAACTTTCTGCTGGTCCGTTTCCATCCTCCCTGGCAGTGAGTGATCACAGTGTGCCCTAAAGAAAGTGATTCTCTTGAAGTCATTAGTATGCATTGCAAGCTTTTTCCAGGGAATATAAATGCAGATGCTGCTGTTATTCAGCTAGAGTTTGAAATTAACATGGTTGAAAGTTTTCTGACAGAAAATTTAAAACCATTCAAATATTTATATTCTATGTGCACATTTATATTGCAGTCTGTCTCGGAGAAATGTTCAAACCCAAATGTTTGTATGAAGCCAAAACACAGTATTTTGAGTTCTTTTTATTTATTTTGAAATTACATTTCTTCTAGAAATGTGCTGTTATAAACAGTAATAAAAAGCTGAAACAAATTTAAGTCTCTCTATCCTTGAATGACACATTTTTCCAGGAGCGTGTTGCCCACCCTGAATAGAAAAGGCATTGTAAGATCACGAACGTTGTGAAACCTGCCCAGCTTTAGACAAAAATGCAAAGCTGCTGGGAGCATAGGAACAGGGCAGAAGGGTGCGGTGCTTGTCATCCCCTGAGGAGGCAACCAGAGCTACCTCTGTGATCCAGAGCACAGAAGGCAGGGAGGAAAGCTAAGATGATGAAGCACATCAGCCTGTGGTGCTCTGAAGACAGGCACAGGGTAAGGAAACCCCCATGTGGTGCCCATCCCCTTGACAGGGTTGTATCTGCAGTGCTGGGTTAGCACCCAGCAGTCTTTCTACAAACAGACAGCAGCGCTGAAGTTACCTCCTCTGGGCAGAGGTAAGTGCTACTTCACTGCTTCATTAACTCCAGTTAAATAGAGTTTGCAAGGAAGCTGCTGCTTTTGGTCTGGGTCTCATCTCTGGATATCCTGAAAGGATGAGTAATGATTTAATGGGACAGATTTTATCTTCCACGCTGCATTCATAAAGGTGGACTGTCTTTTATTCCCACTTGGCACCCTTATCCTCTCCTGTAAAAATCTTGTTCACAGTGATTTGAAAAGTTTGAGAAACGTATTCCACATTAAACCCTCTGTAAAGTGATAACTGAAGGACTCGAGAGCATTTTAAGATACTCATTACATTCAGCAATGAAACTGAGATTCCTTTCCACGTGGATGTAAAGGAGCTGTCTTTACACTGCACTTAAAATCTAAGAGGATCTTTTTTAAGATAGAAAAAAAAGTCATGGTACTAATTTATGCATATGAAAATTTAATCTACTGCAAGTGACATGTATAATCACAAAAAATGGGTGTTTACAAGTTGTCTGTTTTTTAATGAAAGCATTAAAATCAGGACATGCTCTGACTTTCTGAGCTGCTTTTGCTGCACTCCCTTGAAATGGGATTTTAGGCAGTGTCACCCAGGCGGATCCGCTGACCGCTACTGGCCCATAAAACATCAGTGCTAAAACACACTGGCAAAAAAGGAACACTCATGTCCACGCGCTGTTGAAACCCAGCTCTTTCCAAAGATGAACTAAATTGCTGCAGCGATGTTCTAGCACAGGGGTCACAATTGCTGGGTTGATTTAACTACCAGTGTTGCTAGTCGAAACGCTTACAATTATGAGAGTAAAAATTATGCTTCTGTAAAACTGAATTCCATTTACGTTCAGGCAAAGGCTTATTTACAGACACTCCCTCCCTGCAACTGCCAGACAATAGCTGCACACAACACAGAGCATGGGCTTGTTTATCCACTGGGAAGGATCTCAGTCCTTCTCCTCACCTAAAAAGGTGAGAGAACTTCAGTGAAGCTGGTGGGAACCTCTTTCCAGTTAAAACAAACAAACAAACAAGCAGCACCTCCCTTGCTGTCGTTCAGACTTCTCTGAATTTTACCCAAAAGAGAAAGCCTTCCACTCGACATGAGTTGCCTCTTCCCTATTCACTGGCCATGAATGCATGCAGTCTCCCCTCCGTGGTATCAGCAGTGCTCCGCACCACCCTGGAGGAAGCTCTGCCATGGACCAGGATCTTCAAGCTTGCATGCAAGGGCACCAGCACAAGGGCACATCTTGTTTTTAGAAAATGAGCCTTAGTGCATAGGGGCTAAGCCTGCAGAGGCCAGGCTGAATTCATGCAGCATAAAAGGACTGGCAGCTGCAGAAGCTCTGGGTATACATCGCTCCTCAGCAGAAAAAAACACAGGGCAGCGTGGTGCTGCTGCAGCCCACAGGCAGCTCTGATGGGAAACTGGGGGCCAACCTTCCTTCTGGCCCCTTTTCAGCACAGACATCACTGAATTCCCAGCTGCTGCTCTCTTCTAGCACTAAACTGCTCTCTACCAGCCAGTTGCTCCCACGGGCAGGAGGCAAATCTGGTTCTGGCAAATAGGCTGCACAAAGGGATGCCCAGACCATGCCTGGACTTGGGGCAGGCTTGTTATTTCCAAGCTACGCTGTTAGACATGTGTGACCCCTGCCCGGCCCCAGCCCCGGTGCTGAGACTCACAGGTCATGGTTTCAAGGCGCAGCATGCAGCACACGAAGTCAGAGAAGCCGATTCTCCTGTCAGCGTTGCCGTACCGCAGGGTCATCAGGCGCAGGAGCTGCTCGTTAGCAGCCAGGCCTACAGAAGGAAGAAGGACAGCACTGGGATGATGAACCAGCTCTGTGGGCCTTGTGTGCCCCAGAAGGAAGCTGGGGTTCTCCCTCAGCCCCCCACCCTGCCACGCTGGGGCTGCTCTGCATCCCTAGATGGCAGCTTGCCTTTCCCCCAGGTCTGTGCATAAGGGTCGGGGTATGGGGTGGTGGAAAGTCCACGTCCATTTAGTGTATATTACTTGAATGGTGCCTTAGGTCAGTAAGCAGGAAACACGGAGCTAACTAATCTAGCGCTATCTTGCTTTGCCTTTTTAGCTTTTATTTTCTATATGAAAGGGTGATTTTCTTTGGCTCATAACTGTTAAAGGCTGAGCGGAGCATTTACAATACCACTGGTGCTGTCAGCCAAACAAGGAGATACCGCGCATTCACGCTATTATGCAGTATAGCATGCCTGGGATTCTTAATTTTTACATTTTCTCTTCTATTAGAAAATGGTGAAGGGTGCATTTCCTTTTTATTAGCTGATTATTCAGTATTTGTGTCACAGTCTGTTTGGATGGAAATTGGTATTCAATTGAATGAACAAAAATTGCTTTTTAGAACGATTCTTTTATTAGTTAAATAAAACTATCCTAAATGTGCTGGCTACATAAAAGATATGATTTAAATATATTTTGCACTAAAAGCTGATTTGCTAAACAAAAGAGAAATTTTCTGCAGAGAGCTGGACTGATAGCTTCAGTTTAATGCGTTCCCTGAGACTTCACAGAAGTCTCATTTGCTCACTCCTCGTTTTTAGTGGCTCAGCTGGAAGAGAAGTAGCGTTCCTGCTTTTTCAACCAGCTCTAAACTTTTCAGGTTTAAATGAACTCACCATGGAGCCAAATTAGTTGAATAAGCAGAAAGGAAGGAAACGACTTCTCCCCACCTGTATACAGGGAGATACAGCTGATGGAAGTGGGATCGTACATCGATAAACTCTGGTTGCATGAGCCTAGTTGGAGGTGGTCTCCAGCAGGAAGCAGACACACACCACTGAATATTTAAATAATGGAAATAGATTTGGGTTTAAGATACATTTCAAGTTAAGATAAACCTGATTTTAGGTTGGGGTTTTCTTATTTGTTTTGGGGGTTTTTTTCCCTAGGAGAAAAAGTTAGCAATTAAAAGATTCTAATCAATAAAGTTTTTACTTTGATTCTGGTTATAAACCATTGCAGTAGCAAGCAATGAATCCTATCTCATTTTTAACCTTTTGAAGGCAGTGGGAATTCAATCAAACTCTCTCTGGAGAGCAGATTCCAGCAAGCACTGCAGTGCTGCTTACAAGATGCTATAATCATGCCTTAACTCTAGTAAAACACAGGTCAGTCTGGCACGGTCAGTCTGGGATATACTTGCTCTGAAATCTCACCTGGCAATTCTTCTCAATTAACCTCATCAAGAAGACTGAAGCATCAGTCCTCTCTGTTATAGTCATGTGCAGTTGCTTATTTGTAAGGTTACTCCCCACACCTTTTGACTGATGGATTCCTCACTCTGGTTTTAGTCAAGCTTTAAATTACAGACTTTATGTTTCCCTACTTTTAAAAATTATTTTGATGCATATCCTATTGCCAGTGAGGAGTTTGTGAATACCCCAGGCCAATCGTCCTGCATCTCAGGGCAGCCCTGCTGTTAATGCAGCTAACCTGCTTTCTTCTGGCAGAAAATCTGACCCATCATTATTATGCTTTAAAGCATTAGGACAACAGCAAAAATTAAGCACACACTTGTGTGTTTTGCTGGGGAAAGCACTGAACGCTCCATGGAGCAGCTGGCTGGGACCTGAATTTAGATACACTAGTGCCATTCCCAGGGGTAGCACCAACCTCCCAGACTCTTTCTGAGGCTGTCTAAAAACCAGGACCGGGGGGGTCATCTGCAAAGGCAGATTCACATGTAGCTGTCTGGTTCAGAAGGCAGCAAGAATGAGCTTCTCATTTTTTCTTCCCTCCACTCAGAACTGCTTATAACCTAACATATTGAATTTGCTATTTAATAGGGCCTTTCTGCCCCTTCAATCGGTTGCACTATTTTGGCTGCCAGGACTTCTTAATGTACAAATTTCCTCCCAGTTTTACACTTTAGCACCTTTCTTAACAGAATGGACCTGGCAGCTTCTCCTTTGACACGCGGCACCTAAGCGCTGCGCTCTGCAGGCAGTTGCTAACGCTCTGCCCGCCTTTCCGCAATAAAAATATTGCATGCCCACCCCCTGGTGCACTTCTGCACCAGGTTTCTCCTGCGGACAACACTGCTCCAAGCTCCAGGTAGCCACATGGGAGCTTCCCTGCTGTAGGACTGTAAGAGGATTGCTGTCTCAGAGCGGTGTTTCATGCACAAAGTCTCCGGAGAGATGACCCAGCTAAAAGGCTTCGCTGATGTGAAGGGGTCCCACGCACTCACCGCAGTTCCATCATTCGTGTAGCCAACAGAGGTCAGTGCAAACTAAATAAATGTCTGTCACTGGCTTCCCCTGACGGACTGCCCTGGAGAGAAACTGCAGGAACTGGGGTGAGTGCAAACATCCACTGCTCCTTTCCTTTTCTGGATGTTTTGGCCATGACCTAGAAAGGTTGGATAAACCAGCCTTCAGGCTCTGGCCAGTGGAGTGCTTCTCTGCATCTCGCTGCTGCTTCCCTGAAATGAGCTTTCTGTCTCAGTGCTCTGAAACAACACAGATCTCTGAGCAGAGCTGTGATCTAGCTGGCACCTCTGTGCAATCCAAACCGCTTTCTCCCTGGTGCTCCTTTTTCTTTCCTCTCTCTTCTTCATCCTTCCCTTCGCTGCCACAGGGACAAGTAAAGGAGCTGCTTAGCACCTATGGATGTACCTGCTGTTTGTACTGCACTCTTCAGTTCAGACACATCAAGAAACCCAGAATTATTTCTGTCTTCCTTGCTGAAGATATCCTAAAAAACAGCATAAAAGCCCATATCAGCATTCCCTAAATTTACCACTACATCAAGGATGCTTTCCCTCCTTAATAAACAGGCTGTAAGGAACTTAAACAGATGAGATGGGGTGACCATGACAAGAGAGACCCATTTCCAGAACGCTCAGACAGTATGTTACGGTGTAAGAAATCCCACGGTTTTGGGTGTGTGGAAGCCTGTTTGCTCACTCTTCCTGGTTTATGTGGGCAGGCAGCAATGGGAATACTCACACCTCCACTGACAACAAGACATTGTCTGTAACACGTGAAATAAGCCAGGAGTCCCTGAGTCCCAGAATGCTGGGAGGTTGTCTTCCCCAACACATTGTTGAGACCCCACGAGCCACATGAGGTGCTGTCAGTAGGAAGAGCACCATTGCTAGAAGGGAACTGGCACCCCATGTCCTAGGTGGTCTCAGACCGTCTCAAGAGGGATGAAACAAGATAGAGCCCACCCAACTCTGAGGCTTCAGGAAATCTTCCCATACAGCAGCAAGACTGAAGGAAGAAGGACCTGGCACGGAGAAGCTGCCTGAGTTTAAGTGGGACCCTAAATACCAAGCTACTATCCTCACTGCTCCCAGACCTAATGCTTATCCAGGGGCAGAGATATTTGTCCCAGATAAACCTTTCATCCTACACATTTCCACCACAAACTGCTGCAATGAGGAAATGACATTTTGCAGGTGACTCTGCTCAAGAACTCATTTCAGTTTAGAAAGCTTTTTAAAAAATTGACAGTGGTGGCACACAAACAGAGATGTCCATCAAATTATGAGCCTAATTGGTTTTCCTACCTTTCCTCAATTCTTCCTCAATACTCCCTGCACTAGAAGATGGAAATCTGACCGACTAAGCCAGCAACCTTTGCAATATTCCACCCTCCCCCTCCCCCCCAGTGCTTTGATATCATAGAGCATCTGCCCCTGCTGATGAAAAGCCCAAGAGTACAGTATCAGCAGACAAGAGGGAGCAGCCCCCGTGTACCATGTACTTAGTGAGACTTCGCCAGAGGCTCCCGAACTCCTGCAGCGTGAGTTGTCCGTTGGAGTTGAGCTGTGCCTTTAGTTAAGGACTGAACTGTTAATGAGAGCTAAACCTGTCTGTCTTCCTTCCCAAGGATGCTGCCTTCACGTAAAGACACACATAAGATGCAGTCTCTTCTGCCTGTTACTTTCTGTTGATAAAGCCAAGAGCTTTTCTGCTCCCAATTATGCTTAAGCGTTAAATTCACCTTCTTTGGTACATCATACAGCTGTTCATAGCTGTGCTCGCAAACAACAAAAGGTTTCTATTTATATGGTGCTTTTAACCACAAAGGAACTTGCAGTGATTGCTTGGGTTGACTTTCAACCACTGAGCACCCGCAGATGAACATGACCCCATGCCATGTGTCACCTTGTCTTGCCTCTCTGCGTGAGGCAGCACACTATTAGTTCTGCCTGGATCCTCCTGGAGGAGCAGGCTCTGAAGGAGCCAAGAGCATGAGGAGCTGAGCCTGATGCCTGCCATCAGAAGGCACAGCAGCCTTCGAGCCACGCACATGATGCAGGCAAGAAACCCCTTCCCCGCCATGAGCTGGAGCCCATGGGTGTGAGCCAATATCTCCCACGGATGCTCAAAGGGCTATGCCAGTGAGCCCACTCCCCTCCATACACCAACCAGGAGTCCTGGGCAGACATGGAGCACCTCACCTCATGCAGCTGAGATGGCGAAAACTCCCCGAAAGCAAAACTCATCACCAGTGAAATCTAAGCAGACAAGTGCCACTGCCGTGAAACCTGACTGAAAAAAAGCTGATCCTGTCTTTGCAGGCCAGGATAGGTCACACTGTACATGGGCTGTATGCAGCCCAGGGAATGAAAAAATCCATCTTGAATTAAAGCAGAGCAGTGGCTTTGTCAGCTCTTTGCACATGCATTCACAGCGCCCACTTAGCCCAGGAGGGGCTTTGGAAAGGGGGAAAAGTCTCCTTTCACTGGCTAGATGCAGAAAGCTGGAAAAGAGAGGGACTTCTAGTCATTTTTATTCATTCTCTGGCAGTTTGTAAACAGTCTGCCAATGTCTCGAAGTTAGTTCAAGGCATGGAAGAAAAGAGACAGTGAGCAAGCAAGAGGTAGAAAACACACAGGAGAGAATTTATGTCTTCATCAAGGAGCCCTCTTGTTCTACAGTGGCCAGCAATGTATTTCCAGTGTTGTCTTGTTAACAGTAAAAACACTGCATGATCCATTTAAATGGGGAAGGCACACTGGAAAGGATGGATAGCCAGCTACTTCTCCCCCGAAAACCAGCTTTGCTGGGGGTGCTAGCAGGCTGCTCGAGCTGCTGTCACAGGCCAGCGCGGCTGCAGCCGTGACACAGAAGACCGAGCTATGCCTGGGCTTTGCACTGCCTCCTCACCTCGGGCTCTGCCTGGGCCCTGCACCCAAGGGTGAAGCTTAGCCAAGCCCTGCAGAGGGGAAAAGAGAGCAAAGAATTAGCTGGTAGCAAAACGTTGACCCTCACCTTTCAGCAGAGACACCAGAGCCAGGGCATGCTATATAAAGTCCTGCCCAGGATCTGGGACAGCTATTTATTGAGGACTGTGGATAATATTTACTTCCAGGTTCTCACACCGGGACACTCAGCTACGCCATAACTCAAGGCAAGGATGGGCAGCACTGTGAAAGTTTATTGCTTCTGCTGAAAGGATACATCCATCAGAGCTAAAATGCCTCTGCATGAATCGAAGCTGAATCTTCCTCCCAGGCTGGTCATTTCATCTGCAAGGATTGTCAGAATAGAAGGAATCAGCCAGAGCGAGGGGGTGACAGGGGCACCTGGTCACCGTTCTGAGGAAAGGAGGACACCAGCCTGAAGGCTCACCTAGTTAAAAAGCCCCAGAGCTGGCCCAGGGTTTCAAACAGCAGCAAGGGCAATGTGCCAGGTCCATTGAGGGAGTCTGATGTCTCAGACACCCCTTCTGCTCCCTTCTCCAAAGACAGGTGCCGTGCTTGGCTCACAGATAGCTGTTCTGCACAGTCTCTGCCCACCTACCTGCCCTGATAGAACCTTTTCCCTCTTGGAATAAGGATCAGAGAAATGACAGTGACAAGAAAAGCCATTTATGCTGAATTAGGGAGTCCTAAGAGCACTCTGAGCCCTTTGCATGACTGACTTCATTCGAGCCCTCCAGCTGTGCCCATCTGCAAGGACATCCAGGAGCAGCATGGGGTAGGGTAGGTCTGCAGAACAGAGGCTATCCCACAGCAGAACTGGGAGAGGACAGTGAAATTTGGCTGTCGAGCAGACACATGCCTTTGCTGACAGCTATGCATTAAAGAGTCTGTTAGCAGCACCACCTTTTTCCTGTGAATATTACTTTGGTTTTTTAAAGAAAGTAGAAGGTAACTGTTGTGCATCTAAAGGAACCATGGTGAAGGCACTTCTCATGCTTCAAAATCCAATAGTGTGGTAAGCCATGCTGAGAATTTTTGGAGGAGCATCAGGCCACCACTAAATCCTCTGTCTAATTTACACTAGACTAGGGATAGGGAAGCATCAAAGACATTAGCTGGGTTGTAAAAGCTTTACCTTGCAGGATCACTTCATTAAGGAGTTGTTGCAGCTGCGAGGCATCAATAGCTGAGCCCTAATGCAGAATAAAATGGAGAGGTCTGTGAGCATAAAGTTTTCTTCTGTGACACTTTTGCCCCAAACGTTTTTATTCACACAATGTGACAAGCAAGAAGGACCTCTGCTTATATCAGAGGAGCAGCAGCATCCCCACAGGAGCATCACCAAGCCCTCCATGCTGCTGGGCCACTCTGTCCTCCCCTACAGGAGTCTGCAGGGGAGTTAGAGGCACTCCCATCACCACAGGGTGTTTTCAGCAGCGATGGGGAGTTGCCAATGGGCAGGCACAGCAGGGCGCTGGGTGAGTGGGCTGGGAGCAGAGGTGCTCCTGCCTGCTTCCCTTGGAGCTGCCCTTCCATAACCCTGCCTGTCTCCCCCCCGTGACCCCCGAAGGGTATTCAGCCTGGCAGCCCGTGTTCATTTTCACCTTCATGCATTGATATAACTATTAACTGCTAGAGGTCCATCTTGCAATGACTTTTGGCAGTGATTTTTTTCCTCTTGACTAAGTCGAGGAGTTCTTTATAGCAGTTTATTAAACCATTAAAAGCATCTCCTGTGAACACAGAGTTTGGCTCTGAAAGAGCAGGAATCAATTACTCAAATACTGACTGATATCTGGTTTCCAAATGCTGTGTAGGCAAATGGAAAATGATGCTGATGAGAGGGGGGAATACCCAAGGCTTTCTAATTGCTTTAAGTAAACAAACCATGGCAAAAAAATAAAAAGTACACATGCAAGCCCATCACCGGCACAACCACAAATCTCCAGTCATCCTCTGATATATGGGGCTAGACAATCTATCCCAGCTGAATGTCCCATTTTTCTGTGGGGTTTGGCAGGTCAATCAATACAGTTTTCAGGGTATCCACTTGAGGATGGAGCTACATTTCCAAAACCATTTTTCTAAGTGGATTTGTATCAACAGTGTAGATTAGTTTTTCTTTTTGCAAGTCCACGTGCCTTTTATTTCTATTTTTCAGCAAGATGTTTTAGATAGGATACCTGCTTAGCGTATCTTCGGAAAACAGCCTTATAGGAGCTGTCCTGGCTCTGTCTTGGTACGTCCTGGATCAAAGACAAAGTATGCACATAAATAATTCAGTTACAAAACAACTGGTGGCAGAAGTCTGCAGATACAAACAACACTTTAGAGAGGGAAGGGAATGTACAGTACAGGCTGCAGTTTTAACACCCTGAAAGTAAAGTGGACTAGGAGTAAGGAACAGCTATTGCAATGGAGGAAGAAGCATAGTTTGGATGTTATCACTTAGTACAATCAGGAAGGAGCAGCTCAGGGCTTGAGGAAGACAGCAAAATATATCCGTGGTGGAGTTCAGTGAGTTAGTGCATGAGTATAGAGATACAAAGCCTGATCCTCATTGATGGCCCTGCACTGAAATCTTAGGGCACAGGAAGATTCATGTGAATGAAGAAAATAAAGTAGGAGTCGACTTTTTCTTTCTTCTGTATCTTTTCAACCCCAAGGCAGGCTTGACTGTACCTGAGCTTAGGTTAGGTGATTTTTTTCAACCCTTAGTTGAGGAGATCTACCAGTCACTAAAGGGAACTATCCTTAACATTATAAGGTTTCACCAAAAAATCTAAGCCTAAGCCCCAGTGCCTTCAGCTCTGTGTGAGATAATTTACACCAGTGAAGCCCAAATGCCTGAGCAAGAGCAGAAAGTATGGGTACCCTAATTTGTCAAAGTCAAAACACTGGCTAATGAAAATAGCCGAGTAGACTGACAGCTTGTCAGTGGAAAGGGATAATAAACCACCATTTATACTACCCCTCTAATGGGGCTTAATTGCACGCTGGAAAATGAATCGCAAGGAAAGGTCTCTGTTTTCTGTTCTGAAGCAGCTTTTTACCACTGGCTTCCAAGATCTGCACTGAGTTTGCACCATTCTAAGTAACAGCCTCTCAGGGGCAGGGGTTTGCAGGCAACCGGTCAGAGAGCAGCATGGAAAGAACCAACTCTGGCAATTTTCACAGTTCACAGCCAGGAAGTTCAGTAATGGGTGGTAGCTAGGCTACGCTGGCTGAAATATAGGTTGAACTAGAGGCACAACCAGTTTCGGACTATAGTTTCCTTTATGCCTGCAAAGACACTCTGATGAAAATTGGAAGAAATCCGCTGTGGGCCTCACCTCCGTGGACTCCTGTGCCTTATAGAGTGCAAGCACTTAAATGAATAAATTCCCATGGAGAAGGCATGTATGAGCTCACTCTCAGGTGTGAGGTCTTTTTAAAAAAGGTCAAACATCAAAAGTTTGCCTCGCTTCTCCTTAGACACATGCCCATTCTACTGACATGGCAAGAATTTAGTATCTTTGAAATGCTCTCCCCCTGCTATATTTGGTTGGTCAAACTGTTAAAGGTGATCAGGTGAAAAGGACAGATGGACAGGTCAACAGAGGGACTGTATAAGATTTGTTTCCTTCATAAATCAGGCTCTGAAAGGGACATGTGGAGAGGAAGGGCTTCATTGTCACTCTTGTCTCTCCAGAGAGGTATTCCAGGCTGGTCATCTGCTCTCCCCAGCAAAATTGAAGGGCGCCAGGGTCAAACTTTGGGATGGGTACTGCGTGGTGAAAGGAGAGAAGAGCAAAGTGTTGTCTGCCGTATAGGGAAGGAAGAAGAGGAGTCAATATACGTGGCTACCGAAGGGTCAGCTCCCTGGGTACCATTCACCAGCACCAGTATCTACAGCAGTTTTCACAGACTCTTACCATTGGCAGCACTGGTCTGGGCAGGGAGTTTGAGTTCCTAGAAAAGAATTACAAGTGTCAAACGGGGAGAGAATGGGCCTTGAGTATTGATTTACAGATATGGCAGAAGGCAGGCACCAACAGGAGTACTCACCCAGCCTGCAGCTCCACAAGATGCTCAGCACCCACACCTCCCAGCCTGTCCCAGTTCAGTCAAACCTGTTGCACCAGTCCTGGGTCTCTGTGCAAGCAGACATGGGCAGGTCTGAATCTCTGGCTGCTCTGGGCCAGCCCTGTTGGCATCAGCAGCAGAGAAGACAGGGTTGCCCTGCCTTGAGCCACAGACTTTTCACCTGCTTTCTTCTTTGCCTAGTTTAATAGTCAGAAATAAAAATAGCATCTGGGCTTTTAAAAGGCAGCATGCCTTAAATGAATGCAGACTACCTGAAAATGGGCTGGGGTCACCACTCCTTCCGAGACTTGCTTAGTAGCAACATTCAATACCTGAGTTTTGCCTTTGGTAGAGAAATTAGGCAAGCCAGATTCTATTTTTACAGCATCTGTGCTATTACATAGGTGAGTGCTGCAGAGACCCACAGGAAGGGGATCCCCCTGCTGGGCCTAGCTCAGGGGGGTGTGTGAGGGTCACAAGCTCAGGAATGACCTGCCTCCCAAGGCTGAGCAGTCTTGTGCATGACTCATCGTGCTGCAGGCAGGCCAGCCCAGACTTCTCATGTTTGTTTTCCATAACTAAGGAGCAGCCTTAGTCAGTCCTGGGCTATTTGTGCCAGGGGCCAAAGCCTAGAAAGCAACCTCATTATTAAGATATGGCCCTGTGAGGTAGGAGCTGCAATCAGCTCCACTCTAAAGCTTGCTGAAGGAAAGCCACCACACATCTGATTCTTGAAGGACACTTAGTAAGGCTGAGTGCTGGGGCTTGCACTCAGATAAAGCAAACACAGATATTTATGTGAAAATGTGATAATAGCTGCCTTTGCATGAACTAAGATACCATTTTTCCACTACACTGATCTTCGGGGCCCCTCTCATACCCACAGGGAGCCCTACCAGCCTCTCTGTGAGATGGCTGGAAGAGAAGATCAAGGCCTCTCACTGCTCTTTGCTTTTCTAGGTCCCACTCTGAGCAGGACAGGACCTGACCTGTCTGGTGTCCAGCCGTCACAACACAAGAAACTACATAACAGCTGTTAAGAACAACAAGCTCTCTGTCCTCCTCTCACTAAAAAGATTGCCTCACCATCAGGAGGGGTGCATCCCTCACAACTATTGTTCACTTGTGTGGCTCTTTGTACCAAAACTGAGGCCCTTGGTGGCTGCAGATGAGCTATTGCCCTGTTCTGCAGTGGCCACCCCTATGCATCTGACTACACCCCTGCTGCCCCTTGACATGGTGCTTAACACGCGGCTGTGTCTTCCCAACACACTTCTAGAGTACGTTAAAAGCAAGTGGCCGTATTAGTTATGTTGACATTAAATTTTTAAATCCTGGCACACTGTAAGGAGTACTTATCATCTTACTCATTGTAGTCTTGATTCTTGAGGAAAATTCGCAAGAGAAATTCAAATTCTTGGTCTTCTGTTGTAGCAGGAACGACAACATAGGTTCCTGGGCTCAAGGTAAAGTAGTTGGTCACGTCTCGACTCACGGAAAAATTTTTTTTCAATATTTTGGAGTTCTCCTGAAATAAAAATATAGCTGGCTGTGTCCCCTCCTTGTCGGGAACCAAAGTAAATCAGCAAGTGCACACACAGCAGCCTTATATTCCCACAGCTTTCTAAGTAAACACTGCATCTAACATGCCTTAACCTCCTCAGTGGCATGAAAAGTCCATCCAGATGACAGACTTTGCTCAAGAACACATAAAAAATCCACAAGGGTGGAAGAACTGAAAGAAACAGAAGGCAAAATGAATGTAAGTGGATTTGAAGAGAACTTCCATTAACATTAAGCAAACTGGAGTTCATAAAGGAATCAAGGATGAATACTCTTCCTGAAACTTCCCTGAGATCTAGCGTGACTCAGAGTGGTCACTAAGCACCTCACCCGGATGACAAGGCTTCAAGAATCGCAACCCAAACCTTCCAGCAAGTGTCACAAGAAAACAGAATATTCTGATCTTCCTTCTGTTATTCCAAGTATTTTTGCTGAGATGAAACAAATATAATGCAATAGCTATTACCATGATGACATGTAAAGATAGCATAATAAAAAACCCTTACTAAACATATTCCCCAAAATACATCAGCGTGTATAAATTCCATTTAGAGTGGTTATGCAGCGTGGCAGAGTTATTTATGAGCCATGCCTTTGGGAGAATATAACATAAAACTACTATTTTAGGAGGGAAAAAAAAAGATGACTACAGTTACAGACGGCTGGGAGGTATGTAGACTGCCAAATATTATGGGTCGGATCTTGAGGAGATAGAAATGGGCAGTACTGCAAAGAAATAAATGGTGTAATCCTTTTTTTTTTTTACTTTTGGGTCTCATTCCACATTCCTTCTGGTAAAAAGAAGCAGCAGATTAATATCTGAATGAAATCAAAACTGGTGTGAGATAAGAATCAGCCTCTTTACATTTCTCAGCTGTATCACACAGCATTAAACTTCCCTCACAGCCATGTATTAGTGTTCCACGTCTATATTTAATCAAAGGCTTCCTAGAGCTATCAGATATGTCCATTCTGGTTTACATCCTTGCCTGAACTGCATTCCTCTCTCATCCTACCAAGGAATAATATCCTTTTTACTTCAGAGCAACAATTTGATGCATCTCAAAAGGTACTGAACAATGGATGGTGCTGCTAATGAGAAATGGCAGTGAAAGCAGTTGAAGGAGGAAGAGTGAGGCCACGTGCATCTTACCAATTGCCCTCCCCTTGTGCCAAGAAAAACGCTTGTAAACTTCTACACAAAGATGTCACCTCTGATTGCCCTCAGGCACTGAGGCTAGGCTCTGGGAAATAAACCGAGGGAACAGCACTGTACACCTCCCCTGGGTTTATGTCCTGGACTTGGCTTTTGCTGCTACCAGGGCAGGATGCTGGGCTGTGAGCAGCTGGTAGACCAGCTCTCATGTTAAAATACTTCGGTTGTGTCCATGGGGGAATATTTTCAGTATAATGTGCTGTGTGGATTTGCATCGATAACATTATATTACTAAAAGCTATGGCATGACTGGAGAAGAAATGGCTCCGGGGAGATGTTATTGCACATTCCAGTACCTGAAGGGGCTACAAGGAAGCTGGGGGGGACTTTTTACAAGGGGCTGTAGTGACAGGACAAGGGGTAATAGGTTTAAATTGAAAGTGGGGAGGTTTAGATTGGATATCAGGAAGAAGTTCTTGACAGACAGAGTGGTGAGGCACTGGAACAGGTTGCCCAGAGAAGCTGTGGACGTCCCATCGCTGGAAGTGTTCAAGGCCAGGCTGGATGAGGCTTTGAGCAACCTGGTCTAGTGGAAGGTGTCCCTGCCCATGGCAGGGGGGTTGGAACTAGATGGTCTGTAAGGGCCCTTCCAACCCAAACCATTCTGTGATTCTATGACTGAGCAGCATGACAGTCCCCTTTCCTTCATCAACTAGGTGCTCCAAAGTAATCCAGTGCTCCCAGTAATGACTTGTTCTGGCCTTGCCCTTCAGCTCCTGCATAGGAGATCATCTGGGATCAGAAACCCAAACTGAGCCTGAGGTAAGCCATGGATTGACAGCCTGCAGGCACCATGTCTCACTGAATTTCATCCATCCATCCTTGGGAATATACCAAGAGAGAGAAAAAAAGAATAAAAAATGAAGACACTTGAGCATCGACTGGAGGGGAAGAAAGACATTTTAAGTATAAAGCAAGAATAGAGCAAATCTGTCCTCTAGTCTATTTCCTGATTAAACAACCTCCTTTCAAGGGACCCAAGACCTATGCCATCACCTCCCAGTGAGGGTCCTTTCTGTCAAAATGGGTAACTAATCAAGGTGGGCACGATCATACAAGAGCAAGCAGGGACCTCTGTGTCTGGTGACTGTTGGGGGACATCTGACGAGGATGCTGAAAGCAGCGAGTTCTTCATTTACCAGGAGCAGCAGCTCCTTCCGAGTGGCACAGCTGGCCCCATGGAGTCCTGCAGGTCTGATATCTGCACAGGGCAGAGGATCTCCTTGGGTAGGGGTAATGAGTTCCACTGGCTGGAGGGATGGTCTTTTTATTACGTCTTTTATTTCTGACACTGTTTTTTTATGAGCTACAAAGCCATGCTCTTCCTTTATGAGGAGCTGTTAGACTTATGGCATCAATTATTCAAAGTCTGGGACTACAGCAAACCTCTTCAGTGATCAGGAGAATGTGAAGTTAGGGTCATACCAATCTCTGCTTCCTTTTGTTCTTCAGGTTAAGAACAACCCCTCCTACCCCTGTCAGCCTACAACAAATATGCTTTGGAAAAGGCTAGCATCCATCTGCAGCATCAATTGCACTTTCAGTAAGCCGGAATGCTGTGACAACTACTGCCCCTGAAATAGCACCTCCCTGGACAAACACAATGAAAAAAGATCAAGAGGGAAATGGTGGTGGAGGTTCGAGTTACCTGACTGAATTGCTTCTGCAGTGGTCTTGAGCAAAGCCTTCCATGTATTTTGCAAAAGATGTTTACTCATCTACCCTTTTCTATTGCAGCAATGCCATGTAAGACAGGCTCATTTTGGGGAAGATGAGGCCATTCTGTTCCTTACTACACCTGGAGTACTGCTCAAGTGCTGGGGTTAGTGCTGGCTGTCACACCTGGTGCTGGGCCAGCAAGGCATGTCACCGGTACGACTGCGCACAGAGTATATTGCCCTGGCACCTCTTGTAACCTATGGACCCTCTGGGTTTCCCAGGGCTATTTTGGGGTGCTACAGAACTGAAAGGTCAACCTTTCCTCTCTTAAGACATGAATAAAGGAAACTAAGACTACCCAACTCTACTTTTCCTGTAATATTCTAAGACAGGAGGCATTGAGAAGTACACTCCAAATACTGACTGCTCCCCTTTTACAGCCCAAAAGGCAATTCAGTCTTTCATTTGCATGTGCAGGTACAATAAGCCACACAGAAAACAACAGTGCCTACACGATACCTGGTTGTTCTTACCATGGTGATAAAAAAGCCAATATTCAGGTTTTTTTTTTCCTGCATATCCTCAGGATGTTTTTGCATAAGTGAAATGACTACATTATAGGTTTTTGGGTCATAATCTGTCACTTTGAAGGAATACTGAGGGTTCGTTGAAACTGCACCTGCTGAGGAAGCATTAATAGATTAATAGTAGCAACATAGATGTCACAGTAGTAGCCTAATGTGTAAGATCTTGCTTATATGGACCCAGAGGAACAGGTGATTACTGCTCCAAGATGCTTTCAACACAAAAGGGCACTGTCATTTCTACATTACCAGTAGGAGTTGAGGCATCTGGAGTTCAATTAATTGCCCATTAATCATGCTGGAAATCTCTGGCAAAGTCATAACAGTCATGCAGCTTTCTCACCCCTCCTCCCTCCCCTACCTCTGCATCCCTTTCCCTAAGGCAGAAAAGTGGTGACCCTGGTCCTGAGCCAGTGGCCGAGCTGGAAAGAACTGTGGCTTGGAGATCATAAACACAGAAAAGAAAGAAACAACTTGGTCCAAAGCTATCCTTCCCCTCCTTCCTCTTAGTGTTTGTGATGGATAAGACAGAGTGTTGAGCACCAGAGGGAAAAGGCTGCTTCTTGGCCAAGGTTTTGGTTTACAGGATACATCCCTGATAAGAAAACAATAAAATGCCTGAACTGGGGAAAAAGGATGGAGATAGAAGCATCTGCTTAAACCAGTCTAGACTTTAAGCCATGTAGCTGTGTAGGGTGGCCTTGAAAGCTGCCATTTAGCTCAATTGTCCTTGGACAAAAACTTTACTAGTGGGCTGGTGAAAAACAGAGCTCCAATGAAAATGGCTCTGCCCACAGGCTCTCAGTTCACCCCATACACTTCCTCGCTCAGCCTCCATGCCCTCAGTGTCCAGCAGCGCAGGCATTGCTTTGTTATCACTCCTTGAGACATGGTGATCAAGGTTATGAGGAGCAGGCTGTAACCTGTACGCCAAAACCTATTTGCTGCTGTGCCAGGGATCAGCACTGCAGAAAAAAAAAGCTCCTTCACTGACTGCATGCTACCATCTTAGATCAAAACCACAAAGCCTAAATAGTGATACAGCTGTAAAAAAGTAAGATAAGATAAGATAAAAATTAAAAAAAAAAGCCAAACCCCAAACTAATAATCAGATCTTGCAATGCCAGAAGAGACTTTGCACAGGCAGTAAAACCAATGTTCTTATCTGCTCAAAGGCCTTTCTACCTTTGAAAAACGAGCTTTGTAGCACAATTCCTTCATTTCATATCCATTTAAGTTCAGAGTATTTCTTGCTCTGTAAAATCAGCTACATGTTTGCCAGACCAGACCTTCTGATGAGGTCCCCAGTAACACCTACTGCAACTGTCTGAAAGAATACAGACAAGCCCATTTTGAGTTAAAGAGTTTAGGATTTCTAAATCACAAGTCTCCTGTTTTAACTCAGCTGCTGCTGCTTTGTTTCTGCCTCTTTAGCTGATAGGTGCTGTAATGGGAAAGGGCAGGCATTAACAACTGGCAATCAGTATTTCTGCAATTCGGTGCTCAGAGTGAATGCTTCACTGTAAGCACCAGTGGAGAGGACTGGGTGACTGCAGTGAGTGTTAATTACCTGGGGAATAGTTGTTCCTGCCTGTGGCAAGGACTGGACTCCACAGACTAATGTGCCTATCCACGGACCACGTTGTGCTGCGCTGATCTCCAAAGTCCAGAAACGTTGGGGTGCCATTACATATATACAGCCAGGAAAACTGCTCCTGGAAGCTTTCACAGGACATCCTGCAGAGAAGGAGAAAATCTCACCTTTCAGTTTGAGACACCGGTCAGGTACTCCCGTTCACCCCCATGTCTTTAAAAGAGAATTCCAAAGAGCACTGCAGTCTGTCGCTGAGCTGGCTGATACCTTGCAGAAGAGGTCAGCGCTGCATGCCTTTGGGCCGTCCTAACTGCACCTGAAGCCCCAGGGAAATTAGAGGGCATGTTCAGTAGTACCTAGGTGGAGACTGCAGTCTGTCGCTGAGCTGGCTGATACCTTGCAGAAGAGGTCAGCGCTGCATGCCTTTGGGCCGTCCTAACTGCACCTGAAGCCCCAGGGAAATTAGAGGGCATGATAGTAGGTGGAGCCCTGCTATCTCCAGCACATCTCTGCTGCTGCACCTTGCTTTGTCCCTCCACAGTGTCCGGTCCCACACTCCTGCAGTGTCTATCTCAGACCAGCCTGTTGTTCCCCTGCTTTCCTCGGGGCCTCAGACGGGAAAGTGTGCACTTTCTGAACAGTAATAGCTTTTCTAGAGGATGGCTCACACATAAATATCCCTTTTTTCATAATGAACACAAACAGAAAACCTGGTAGACAGAAGGATTGATAGGGAAATACCAGAATTCTCCATCATCCTTATTTCTGAGGAGGGCTTCTCTGCATTTAGGCTCAACATGGTCCCACTGAGGAGAGCTGTAAAGAGGAACAAATCAACAAGCAGACGTCAAGCACAATTTTCCATGTCTCTGGACAGCCCATCCCTCCAACCAGCCTGGCAGTCATGAGGGACCAGTAAGAGTGATGAAACTGCACACTGGGAACAGGACTGTGCTTGACACATTCACGGCCAAGGCAGAAAACAGGGCTCTGCACCTTTGCTGTGCCTGAGTTGCTCACACTGGAATGAGGAATCCTGCCTCTTCCCTCCAAGCTTCAGTCACCTGTCCCTGTGCTGGAGAGGTTAGCGAGGTACCAAAGCGCAGCACTCGGAAGTGCTGATATTACGTTGAAGTGTAGAGGGCACATTAGCCAGTCAAATGTGTTGTTTCCAAGCAGCGTGTTTATAATTAAGTGATAATTGTACTCTCTGCAGAGTGTAAGATAAATAAACAGAGCATGAATCAATAATTTATTGATTTATGCAGCTTACCTGTGAACGCGCTCTACTGACATTTCAATTACAGCTAGGATTGTGGTTCACCCTTCCAAAAAATGGGAGGATGCTGCCTGAGCAGATAGCTATTATCCCAGCCTTAAACATGTCTGCACCACCCGCCAACCCAACCAGACGCAACATGATAGCCTGACTTTTCTCAGCAGAGAAGTTATGACTGTTCCTAGCAACGGGGAGATGTGGGATGCTATTAAATCACATAAGAGTGACACCTGAACATCTCTCTAGTCAGGAAAACACTGATGCAATTCCACCAGGAAAACTAACATCTATTTATTTTAAAAACACTTTTGCAGTCTTGCACTGTATCTTTCCTTCCCTCAGGAAGGAGAAGTAAGCTTATACACACAGCAGCAAAGCAGTCCTTGCATGTCCAAAGCTGCATGGAGGATCCGTAAGGTCAGTTCAAGCCATCCAGTAGCACTTTGCCTTTGCAAAAGGACTGGTTTTGTCTCTCCATGTTCAGTATTACATAAAAATACTGCCTTACTCTCATAGACTCTGCTAACCATCCCCTTCCCAGATTCAGACTCATTGGAGGGAAAGAAGGAGCAGGAAGATGGATGCACAATTTTTGCAGGAGAATTCAATAGAAGCAGCCAGACAGTGCCTAGGTCAGAGCTTCCTCCAGGTAGTAACTCCGCTTTCATCCATGAATTCTCTGTAATTAACCACTGGGAAAAATGTACATATAGACAAAAAGAGATACCTGAGGTAGGCCTAGCACATATAAAACCAATGCTGCATTAGTTTTCCCTGGATTAGATTTCTGTGGGCGGCTGCTTTGCGGATAGGAATAAGGCTTATAATGAATTGATTTAGGAATGTCTGCTTCATGATAATGGCTGCAAGGCAGAGGTCCTTTACAATAAGCCTATAAAAGAGTGATTCTCCTTATGAGGTTAAAGCTTTAAGATCATACTTATCACTCCAGGGTCCCTTCCACTCCCCATGGCCCCACGGATTCCAGATCCTGATTATATGTTTCCAGCCATTCTTGTAGCGTATCTGTAAAAGGAAAAGACAAATAAACTCATTCACAGCTTTTCACAATTGTGACTTTCAGTGAAGAGATGGGTAACAAAACTCATTCTATACCTTGGAGGCCTGGTTTAACTTCTGATTTCATTTGACTGCAGCTAAAACTCAGTGCCTTTTGCTACGATGTAAAGCAATTGTGTGGGAGAAAATCATGCCCATTTTGCTTTCCCAAGGACAGTGAATAGCTGAGACAGAGGGAAGTAACATAATTCCTGGCACATAACATGACTCCAGCAGCCTTGGGAAAGTCCAGTGCTGGTAGCCAGCAGAGGCAGAGACTTTGAGGAACCAGACCACCAGACTGCCTGGAGTGAAGGTCAGCAGTCAGCACGGAGAGATAATGATGAACAGAATCTGTGTCTCTATCCTGTAGATACAGGATTGTGGTTTCCAGCAGCTGGAGTTGTAGTGCTTTTCTCCTCTTGCTGTCACTGCTTTAAGCCAGAAGCAACTCACTTTCACCAGTGAAGCTAAAATGGCGGAAGTGGAAAGGAGAAGCAAACCTTGTTTGAAAATTTTGTTTGAAACGAATGCCATGGCAGTCTCTTCCCAGGCAAAAGCCCAGCCAAAATCATTTCCACACAGGACACTCCCCTGGATGCCTTGGCACTCCACTAAGGTGGGGCAGAGACTGTTTCTCCTCTCTGCAAGCATCGCAAACAGCCTGCTTCCTCTCCAACAGGATTCAGGACCCTTCCACCCAGTCTTGCGAAGAGCCAGCTGTGATCTCTGGAGCCTGGCAGCCCCCATCCTTTCATTTTGGAGCCTCTTGGCTACAAGCAAGCATCCTCCAAGAAGCAGCACACTGGCTATGATGATGGCAGCAAATGTACCACAGCATAAGCATCTATAAACCAAAGCCAGACACATATGGGAGACCATTAAAGAGAGGGGGAGAAGGGAGAAAATAATTTAGGGAAAACGAGGTCTCCTTTCCAAAGTACTTTTAAGTTCCTAGTTTAAAATGTGTTGTAGCTATCTTGCTTGATAGCATAGCCACTGTTTGGTTTCCTTCTTCACCCTGCTCACGGTTAACACGCCCTGTGTACGCTACAGCTTACTGGAGTAAGCCAAGTTCTGACTGGTAATAAAAAATCCTTCATTTCTTTTGATCTCTGTGATAAATTGGTCCTGTTTCAGGTCAGCAATATTAATATCTAGCCAGGAGAAGTTCTGCATGAGTAGAACAGCTTTAAAAGATGGAGAAATGCTGTTCTCGAACCAGCGAGTTATTTACTTTTCACACAGCGATTTTTGGCAGCTTGTGATAGAGCTCAACAAATGTAGATTTGCACCATATGACAAATCCCAGAATTTCTGCCAGTACTTCTATTCCCATTTGAAACAGAAAAATGCATTTTTTAAGAGTCAGCATGGAATAAGAATCCCCAGAAATTCTGTATAGCTTGCTGTTGAAGTGTACCAAAACAAAAGTGAATTTACATTGTAGTTTTCCATTAGAAAAAATGATAGGATTCTGATAATCTCCCTCTTCCCATTGTGCCAGAATCCTTCCATCTCATGGAATTTGAACGATGGGCTTTCAACAATTCATCCTCAGCGTGAAGCTAATTAAAATTACTCTCAATGGAACAGCAGTGTGACTGCCCTGTAGTGGGTCATTAGGCAGGAACAAGCCCTTGATCTTACCTTCACAGTTCCTGTGACAGTGTAGGCATGGCCCTGTACAATCCCATTCCTCAGCTCTATGTTTCTCCTCATCTGCAGAAGGGAGAAAGCACAGATTTTATCTCTCTGCCACACTGCAAAGGTATTGCCGTCAACTCCCAGAGCTACCATTTGATATGGCAGAAAAAGAGACTTGGTTTTGACTACAGCAGTATCCCAGATATGGTGGCTCCAGAGGAATGTGGCTGTTGTTCCCACTGCAGCTGTAAGTAGTCCAGTAAATTTAAGAACACTACAGGTCTTCACATATTTGTAAGTCCTTCAGTGGTCCAGAGCTGATGCAACTGCACAATGACCTGGACTAGATCACTGGTAGGATTAAAGCCCTGAATTTCCCTGTCCCCTCACACACCCAGCCCAGCATCAACCACCTGAGCTAAGGGGCCAGTCCTTGGCTTCTTTGCAACATCTGAGTTTTGTGTCCTGATGAACCAGGTGCTACAGGCACAACGCCGCACACTTTGAGGTCTTCCCTTAAATGCTGTAAGGGAAACCTTGGCAGCTTTTTAGCAAGATACTTGCCAAGTATCACCAAGCCTTATGCAACTTCCCAGCATTAATATTGGTAGCCAGCAAATCGCAATGTCATAATAGCATCCTCTTGCAGAAAAGAGGTGCATTCTGGCCTTGCTAGAATCGATCGCAAAGCTATGAGGCCAAAATCGGCCCTGCTGCAAGAGGACACCACTCTATCAAAGTGGAATTAGGAAAGAAGACACAGACCCCGCTCTGACAGACCAATCCATCTACATCTACCCCACATCTACTGCATAACCTTACCTACTTTCTGCTGCCAAGACTTCCCCAGGCATCCATAAGCCATAACAATTATACAGAGTGATTATGGACTTCCTTTTGCACTCAAAAAGAGCAACCTTGATGCAAACATGGTAAACCAAAAAAGCAGACTCCTGGCCCTGTGACTCACTTGGCCTGAGGTGCTACACCCCATCAGACACTGAGATTTGTCAGCTGCTTTCAGGATCTCCTCCAGGTCAGCAGGGGGATCCTTCAGTGAGAGCTGCACTTGGACGCCACCCGTGAGGTCTACTAAAGCATCAGAAAGGTAGCCTCCATGCAAGTTCTGGTAGGAGCCTCGTAACCTGGGGGAGAAAAGAAGTTAATTAGTCTTTAGACTGTGTTTTAATAAGCGATGTACAGTGATGGTTTCCAAAAGGGACATGTGCATCGAGGCAGTGAGCCTGGCACTGGGGCCAGGTAACAAAAGGAAATGTGACTGAAACACATGGCCAGACACAACACATGCCCTGTGGAATGAAAGACTTTTTCCTACGTATTCACTCACAACTGAGGCAGCTGTCTAGAGTAATTTACAGACAGTAGAAAATAATAAGGTGTATCTCATGCCAACTCAGCCATTTTAGGGAGATGAGCTGCATCTCATTTTGAAGTACCCAGTTTCCTTCTTCTGAACAGGAAGGGAGCCAAGGGTGACTAGTTCAAATGAATGTTTCAGATCAAATGGAGCTGAACTGTTAGTTTCTACATCGTATTTTGCCATGACTCTTTGCAAAAATAGCCAGTATCCCCTTTGCAAATGAGAAACAGGAAGAAGAGAGAGGTGAAGGTATTTGTTTATGCTCCCAGGACAAGACAGAAGCAAGTTTTCAGCACTGTTCCCAACACACTCTGCTAGAGTGCAGTAATAGGATAATAATTTAATATCACCAACGCAGTCCTTGTTGTTTTTATCATGTGCTTTTTATTGAGACAGCAAATAAGCTGGAACATGCTGTACTTAGAGCAGGTAGAGCATGCTGTTAAGCCCCACCATACACACTGTATTTAATGAATGTAATCAAATGAAGTCTACAGCTAATTGTATTTTGAAGGGTTGTCCTTGTCCTACACTGATGAAAAGAATTTGTCATGGGCACTGGGGAAAAACTTCTCAAATGGGAATCTCATAAACAGCATCGCTTGCAACTTTAATTTAATAGAGGTTTGGTTTGCTTTGTAATTAAAATCTTATGCAGCAAATTGATACTGAATCCTGAGTCAACTTTTCTGAGATATCTCAGGGCAAAATGCATCCTATTCCTGAGTCACTCATATGCTGCTTTAACATTTGCTTATTCCTGACCAAATCTGCCAGAGTAATTAGTTCTCTTCAGCTTCCCTCTGCTGCATACACCAGTTTGACGTAGGGCATGTGTACCAAGTTCCAGCCCTTCATGCTATCCCTAGCACAGGAATTTCTCTTCGCTGCATTTAATAATGGGCAATGTTATAGGTGCTAAGGGACCGCATTCTGATCCCTTCACTCCTCAGAGGATTTTTTAAAAAAATATTCTCTCTTTATTAATCATTATTAAGTCTGCAGTAGTCTGAGGACCTCAGCCAAGAGTCAGAGCTCTCTGTGTGAAGCGAGAGCTGACCAGGGACTCACAGGAGTGCATGTATTGTGACTGGGCATATTCTTCAGTCATGCTTCCTCTCATTGCCTGATCCAAATGTCTATATGATCTCTAAGTGACTGTAAACAGACGTAGTCTCTCCTCAGAGTCTGTAGTATTAAATAGAGGAAGATACAGAAAGGAAAACAGAGGCAAAGAAGTTTGTTTAAAGTCAGGAGGAGATGCCCAGCCCTTCTTGTGTCACATTCCATCACCCTGTTCATTTTACTTCTCAGGCACTAACATCCTGGAGTTGGACTGGGTACATCTAGGTTTTCAGCCTGAGACCAACACCTCCAGATGATGCTGGCCCTGTGTTTGCATTCAGCCACAGGTCCTTACACAGGAACAACATACACAGCCGTTAGCCTGAACCTCCTCCCTGTGTGCTTTGCATAAAGCAGAGGGTGAAACCAGTTGTAGAAAGTATTCAGCACTGGGTGGGAGAAGAAACCAAATGTATTTACTTGGCATATGCTTTTTCCAGCAAGCATGGCCAGAATTCATTTGACGCTCGAGGATGTACAGACAGGTATCTTCCATTCAGGAATGGCAGACGGTCATCTATCACTACATCCACCCAGTCTCCATATTGCCAGAACTGGAAAGAAAAAGAAAAAAAAAAAAGAGAGAGAGCGCGAAAAGAATGAGCCTCTTTTAAGAGCTAATATTTATGCAAAGCAGCCTCCTCCTGAAATAGCACAGGAATTAATCTAAAGCATGGATATGTGCAACTTCTCTACTGAACGGCTTCAGGCTAATGGTCCACATTGTTAAACAAGCTACCAAGTGGCTGGATTTCCCAGTGGCAAAGGAAGTCATTTGGGAATATAAATAGTCCCACAATCAGTGGGAGGAAAGATTCAGCATGGGAAATACATGGATATTATTGGGCGACAGCAAGCATTAGAGATGATAAAGAACAATCACGCAGGTGGTTCTGTGAGCCTCACTCCTCAGCTGCACTTGGATTTTTCCCTGCAGCACAGCTCTTGGCCAGAGAGCCTCTGTCAAGATCCAGTCTCTAAATGTTCTTTCCTCTGTGTTTCAATTAAGACTCTGATGTGCTGTCGTGAACAGGGACAGTGTAATGACTAAAGACTGTTTTGAGGTGTTATCCATCTCCTTGATAGATGAGGAGGATGTAAGCAGTCTCTCCAGCATGTGGACAGAGCAGGTGTTTCTCCAGCTGATCCAGCTGATGAAACCTTTCATTCTGTGGGGATGAACTAAAGGAGCCATTTCCAGAGTCATTAGCAGATTAATGTAGCTTAGCATGATACGCAATCATAAGAGGCCAAGCTCTTATTTGCAGTAATGCTAAGGACTCCAGTGGAAGTATGCCAGCAATAGATTTAGTCTAGCGTGATTTTATTTCAACAGCTTTGGTCAATGAAAAACCCCAAAATGAGCTGTTGTGTCAGAAAAGCACAAGACCAGATCTGCCCAGCCGCAAAGCAGCTTACAGTCTGCTAAGCCGAAAGCAGGTTTGATCCTACTTACGTTCTGCCTCACCCCAGCCTCTCACTTCCTACATTAGTGGTGGTAGGAGGTGGCAGGGTTGGACTCTCCGACATGAGCTCCAGAAGTGGTTTGAGCCTTCTGCTTGATTTTGGCAGGATGGGGTTGGGGAAAAAGCCTGCCATGGATTGTCCTCTGCCCAAAAGAGAGACAGGCAAAAGGACGGCCCAAATGGATCTGTCCTTTCAGTCACTTGACCTGCCCTCCTGCCACCAGCCAACACCTGACAGCAGGTCTATATGAAGAAAAGGCGTGACATCCAGCCACACCTCCCCACGGTGTGCTCCATGTGCAAACACAACAGGTAAACAAGGAGAACAATATGGAACTGGCTGTGGAGATTAATGCAGTCCAAACCCACTGAGTGGCATTTTTCCAAATCCAAGTTCCTTGGCCATCCTTGGTAGGGAGCTCAAGCTTGGTGGCTTTCTGAATGCAGCTCTATATTTTAATTCATTAAATTCATTAAAGAGAGCTGCTTTGTCCTGACTGCTGCAGACTTTCAGATCGTGGTCTTATCTGAGCTCACAGGGACAGGAAAAGCCACAATGGGAATGAGAAACCTCATGGAAAGACCTGGGATGCTCTGGGAGTGCAACAGTGGTACAGGAGAAGCCGTTCTCCCCCATATGCCTTCATGGAGGGCCAATGCCTTCACGTTTTGGCTTGAAGGTCTGGCCTCATGAAATTTCTTTATACCCTCAGGATTTAAAGTACTGCAGCTGGGAACGTGACAGTAAATTAAATAAAGAATCCCTATTTAGGCAGGCTGCATGGAGGGAAGTTTTTCACTTCCACATTTGTGGTAAGCCTTTTAAATCAGGAATTTATTTTCCTGGGTTTAAAAAAGAAATAAAAAGAAAAGGACATTTGCAAGATGACAACACACCTATGGTGCTGCTGGTCACAGGCGGAATACTGGGTGATTATTTTGCCTCCTTTTTTCCCCTCCCTTGACAGGATTCTTAGAGAAATCCAGTTCTGGGAGTAAGGAAGGTGAAAATCCCATACCTTTCAACCACTCTCTTTTGCATGGTGTTAAAAAGCACCTTTTGGATGTGTCCTGAAACTGAGGACTTGACTACTTACAGCCTTTAAAGATTTCATCAGTTTCTTTCTGAGAGCAGGGTCATTAACGCTCAGGGCAGATCCCCCGGTTTTGGGTTGACTCATATTGAGTTGTGCCCTAATCCCCTCTAGTCCCTGCAGAATATTTCTGGGTTTTTCCCAGGCTGAGCTGCTGCTGCTCACTGTCACAATGCATGGCAAACCCTGACTCACAAGCATCAGAGTTTCTGTGGCAGAGAAAATGATTCCTATACAAACGAGGGACTAAATTAATTCCTGGTGAAATAACGTCATTGTAATTATTCCCTAGATAAAGATGTCACCCATCTTAACTACAGCTGATGGAGTGCTTAACACCCTTAACTCTTGCAGCAGAACAGGCAGTGTTGTGTAGGAAGACTGGATCAGCCCTTTGTATTCCTGGGAGGTAACGTGCTCCAGATCCAAAAAGGTGAAAAAAAAGTTATAAGCTAAAATTTTGATATTAGCATATGATATGCCTTGTTTGCGATTCTTCACTGAACTGAGGACTGGTGGCTTAGCCTGTGGATGGCAGTAAAATATCTTTGATGGAATAATTGAAAGGCATTGCCGAGAAGCATTTCCATTCAGAGTAGCTTTCGCAGGGGTTTATTGCTCAAGGAAAGCCAGAAAGAGTTGCATTGATTTGCAGATGAGATGACAGGGAAAACATTTTCAAATACTGTAAGGTATTTATACTGCTTAAGATTTAAGGATTGCTCCTAACTAATCTTTTCAAAGCTCTCATGAAAGACAATCTAGCTTGCATTCTTTTCATGTGTTTTAAGCAGACTGGTGTCCCTTCAGCTAGTTTATCTCATACATTGCCCCTCTGCTTGCTGGAAATGGGCCAGGACAGGGCCAATACCAATACATCTGGTATTCTGAGGAGCAAAGGAACAGTGGAAAATATAGGCTGCCTGCGAGATAATCCTCCTGGTGCTGCTCCACAAGAGCTCTGGGAGGTCAATGAAGTCTCACTGCTAGAGCTCTTCTCTTGGTACTGAACTGTGTATATCAGAACAAATTTGTGAAAAAAGGGGGATGATCAAAGGCCAAGTATATACTGATTCTCTTTACATCCAGTTTAGCTTTTGGAGCTTAATGGTACCACAGGTGTTTCTAATCCCACAAGATATTTGGTCAACTCAGATACAAGTAAGCAGGGCCTGCCAGTAGTACCTACTATACCAGCCACTCTCCTGGGGAATTCAGACAATTTCAATAGTCAGTAGAAAGTAAGATTTACTAAAAAGACTTGCTCTTCTCTCCAAAACAAATCTCTCTTCAAAACACCAAAAGCCTGATCCTCTGATCTATCTCCAAGGGTTTGTAATTTCAAGCCATTTCCACAAGCTAAAAGGGCAAAGTGAAGTATATAGGGAAACAATAAATGAGCCCAAATAGATAAAGAACACAGGTGTGCTGACAGCCATAACTGTTCAGATCAAAGCAGGATTATAATCCAACGAGTCAAGCCCAAGCAGTACCAATAGAGCAGAGAATACCTACCCGGAAATGAAAAATCCCAGCATAATCATCCTGAAATCCTTGGTCCTGTGGTAAAACTTTTGCCAAAAATTGCTTCTGCAGTGTCAGGGAACCCAGAGCAGCCAGCAGCCAGCAGTCACCTCAAGGGAGAGAAGAATCCAATGCATTCAGTCATTTACTCACTACTGTGGACTATAATTAACACTTTGATAGAGTTGACTTCAGCATCTAAGAACCACCTTGTTAAAAGAACATAACGTTCTTCTGTCTCCCTTTTCTCTCCCAAAATGATGAAAACACTACCCAGTATTCACCAGCAATGCCCCTTGGCAACTCTGATGTCACCCAGCCATCTGCTTCTACTTTTACACTCCTCCTATCTTTTGTGGCCATGTTGAGACTTGCAGTCTAGAGCATTGTTCAGGAAATCTTCAGACCTCTCAGTGAGGTGGGAAATGGGAAGACATTTATTTCTATATGGGAGAAGAGCTGCTCACAAACACAAATATGTTTATGGGTCAAGAGAAAAAATTGGAACTGATACAGGGTGCAGACACACGTCTGGGTAAGTATCAGAGGAGATGGACAGAAATATCCACAGAAAACACTGAGTCACCCGATGGAGACAGGATGAAAATAAAATTCATTCTTGCACATGTTGTAGCTGTTCCTACTTAGTCTAGACCAATTTGACCCTTGTAGCATCCACCTGGTCTCAGTAGGACCCCCCTTTCTATGCTTGTCCTTATGCATAGAGGGCAGGTGCCGTATATAAGTAACAGGCATTAGACCTGCTGCATTTGGGAATCCTGTTAAGTACCTGCAATAATTTGTGTGTGAACTTGCTTGAGTCTGCACTGACCTGCACTAATAATTTACTACAGCCACCACGGTTTATGCTTTCCCACCAAGCACCCAGAAGATAACAAAGCAATCACAGGGTATTGCTTTGAGCCAATCTTTTCCAAAACAGGCATATGACCTTACCTAGTTCTCCTTGAATGATATCAAATCTGCTAACTCCATCCATGATCAAATAAGGATTTTTCTGAAGTTCCTGGAAGGGAAAAAAAAAAATGCAAAGAGCAGTGTGGGTGCCCAGCCTTTGCCAGCTGTGTGTTCCCACCCCCTGAAGACCTTTGCTTGCCTACCTTTTTCACAGCTGAAAACTATTTCTCTTGAGCCCTCATGTTTTGTTTCCTGCCACTAACAAAACCAGAGGAGATACTCGAGCACCTCTTCTTCAGTCTGCCTAGCTATTCCTAGGGATGGGGACTTGTGACTGGATGCTCACCAGACTTCTCTAATGCTACCAACACCTCTCAGAGAGAGCTCTGAGACTGCCTGCAAAATCATGCAGTTTCCTGGGGTACAGGAGGGCAGAGACACACAGGTTTCCTAGCAAAGTGGAGCAGGGTCTGTACTTCAGCTCAGCACTGGGACTGGGAATGTTTTAGCCTCTAAGCTTTTTGTGTTTCCCTGTAGGACTAATTCACATCAGCCTGGGCTGGTTTTCATCACTTCTGGTGAGGAAGCTATAGACAGAGGGCTTAATCTCTGGCTGCAAAATCCCACAGGCCTGGCTGACTTATTTTTAATTCAGGGAGAATTTTCCTTGTATTCCTTGGAGTCTTGCTTGGGCAGTGAAGGAGAAACGCATCACAGAGCTCGGCCTTGCACACAGAAATGTGAACCATTCACCCACCTACATCTGCTATTGGTCTGGGATGTCTGAGTGCTCAGGTAGGAATGGCCAGAGTGAGTGACCCTTGGCACACCCCAACTGGGTAAGGCTCTGGTTTTGAAAGAGCAATCAGCCTTAAGTAGGAAAGTCACTGCACACCTAAAGAAATGAAGAGATAAAAGGGAGAAAAAACATCTGAGTAAGAAAAATAATACAGCAGCTCTTCCTTAATCAGGCCCTGGCGTTTCTTCTCCCCAATTGATTTGACATGCCACACAAAAATGAGTCCAGTGCACAATGTGACTCACACAGTTGCGTGAGCTCAACGTTAGCAAATTCTGTCAGTTTTCTGAAACGGTTTTGCCATGATCAAAACCCTCTAAGAAGTGGCCCTGTTGGGACAAGATGCAATGCAACATTGCTGCTCCAGGCTGGTGGACAGATCACGCTCCCACAGCATTGCTAACAGCAGGCACACATCTTCCTTGGCAGACGCTTTCACACAGCCACCCACACCCAGCCCAGGACTTCAGGGATTTGAGATAGATTTACCCATAGCACTGACGAAGTCCTAAGAAGTGATGGTCAGCAGCAACAGAAGTTGGTCTCTGTACAGGGAAGCAACAGCTCTCAGCCCTTCTCCTTTCCCCTCTACATATGTCCCAGCTTTATCTTCTCCCTGCCTCTATTTCTCTGCCAGCAGTCTGCCTCCTTCATCTGGGTGAATTCAAAACCTCCTACAAGCAGGAAAGAGAAACTTGCCTGACAAGGCTCTGAACTTGGCCCGTGCCCTTGCATGTGTCTGACTTGCCAAGAGCAATCCGAGAAAACGCAGAGCATAAAGGAATGGGTATTTTTGTTCCCCCATCACTTCTGAGGCTGTTGAAGTTGTAGTTGCCCCACGCAGGGTGGCTGGGCTCTGATGGATGTGCTGCAGTGCACAGCTGCCATGGGGTAATGACTGTAAAGAAACATGAGTCTGAAACGAATGGGAAGGCAGCTGTGTCTCATGGGATTCCTGAGGAAAGGGCTGATGCTCTGCTGTGTGTTGGGATGATAAAACTCTTAGAGTGTGCTGTGGATCCTGCTAGCCTGTTACTGAGAATGGCTGAAAATTAGCCCATTAGATGCCTCAGCAGATACCCTATTGACCACCAAGACACTCCCCAGTAAGCAAACGGGTATGGGTTGAGTCATTAAGCAGCTTTCTTGCTGAGAGAAGCCAGGGATTTTGTCTAAAACCAGAAAAGACATCATCTGAAATCAGCCCCAGCCAACATGCCTTGACTGTGCCTGCAGACCATTTTGCGGCTATCACAGAGAACAAAAGCAGAACTCAAACACTCTCACTGTAATCCCCACCCTCAATACACAAAGGTCTGCTTCCAGTGGGGTGTACTCCCCACAGACTTAGGGGGCAATAACTGGAAAACCACACAGAGTGTGTGACTAGACATGGAAAAGGGGCTGTTCAGCAGCTATCCCTCTGCAGAAACCTCTCGGCAAGGTGAGTTCCCACTGAGCTGACGCCAGTGGCACTGGTCGAAACGGCAACAACTCCTCCTTGCTGCATGTACTGCAGTCAGAAATGGCATGGCAGGTTTTAAGACGAGGTTTGTGCTTCCGAGCGCAGCCACCTCTCTCTGGGCTTGAGGAAAAGAGGCAGCAATGGCAAGCTTCAGAAGGATGCAGTGCACGGAGCACAGGCTCTTTGCCTGGCGTTGGGTGTAAGCCAAGAAAGCGCAGGGGGCAAACAGAAGCTGAAGCAAAGGCGGGATACTCAGAAGGGCTCTGGAAGAATGTGATCCTGAAGTCAGCAACGGAATGGCTGTTCCCTTGAAGGATGCTGTGTGGAGCCTGAACTAAGCACAGTTAGTTTCCTGAAAGAGCTTAGAGAGGACATAACTGTGATGGGTGCAGTGCTTTGGAAATCCAGAAGGAAAGGGAGGAAAGGAAATCTCCAATTAGCTACTCTTCCTTCAAAGGCAAGAATACAGCAGTCATAAAACACCAGAAACTAGCATTTATTACTGCAAAACACAGCTATGCAGAGTTACTGCTATGCAAACTGTGCAAGCCTCACTATTTGCTTAATATTGTGTTTAAATTGCATAACAAATAGAGAAACTACAGTTTTAACTGTAAGTCTATCCAGAAGCAGCGCCTTGTTTCACTGAGAAATTACGATGAGGCTTTGTGGCATTTTCTTCAAGACTTTTCCCTTTTAGCTGGAGGGAGAAAGAAGCGGGAGCTTAAGGAGGCACATGGTGTCTCCTCAGAGAATCTACAAGTCCAGCAGTGAAGACAACCATATGGGCTGCAAGTCAAGCGTTCTGCCTGAATTCATCCCCCCAGGACAAAGCTATCATCGCTTGCTTTTCCTGGCCCACTGAAGACTTCGTTATGTATTCAAAATAAAAGAGAAGTTCAAGTTCAAACCAGTTCAGCCTCTAGAGAATGAGCTCACCACAGAAGTACTGCTTATCCGAAGGGTAAGATGGAAAATTAAGAGAGGTGGAAGGAGAATGCCCAGTACATGCATTTGTCTCTAAATTCCTTTTTATAATTGCTCAGCATTTTTATGAAAGACCAAGTCACCAAAAGAAGCTGGGGGTGAGTAATGTAGGTGTAGAGCACCTGCAGACATATGTAAAAAACTCAGACATTTTTGTTTAAAATTGGAAGCCCAAGGTGGGATTTCATGGGCAGGGTAAGCCAGTCTGACTGCAGGTGCTCTACATCTACAGCAGTCTGGCCATGGCCACCTTTACACCGATTTCCCTGCAGACCCAGCATCATCCTGAATGCACAAGGCCACTATGGGTTAAGAGGGAGACGGCTCTTTGGAGAGCTTCCTCACAGTCAGTTCACCTTAACCCTACACTTAAATCCCAGCCCTGCTTCTGTTCCTGCCATAGCACCGCATCTTTCCCTTTGGCTGCACTTGTGTTCCTCCCTCCTGCTCCAGCTTCACCTTCCTGACATATCCTGCCATTGGGAGCCACTGTGCTCCCTGTTCAACACGTGCCAGTTAAGAAAAACAAAAAGGCTGGTACTGATTGAAAGCTAAACTCCGCTCTCAGCTGGACAAATCTTAAATCAGCATCACTGCTGTGCCAGTGATAGCGTTGCTCTGGATGAAGAAGCAAACGCGGTATTCCAGTTCGCTGGGCTGAGGGCACTGCCTAGCAGTGTGCCGAGGAGGGGTCAGACACAGCACTGTCATACATCCCATAACCACAGGGAACTTCCTCAGAATAGCTAACACAGAAACAAGGCAGTTGGACTAACGAGCGAGGGTAGGGCAGAAAAGAGGATGAGCAGCGCTGGGTCACACTGAAGGGCTGCCTGTTGCAGTGACTTCTCTCCGACAGCTTGCAGAGGGAGCAGGATAACCAAGCAAGCAGAAACTCATGCTCCTCCCACTCTCCATCACTTAGGGGCTGAAGGACTTCCCAGGCTGGAGGTTCTATCCACAGTTTTGTGCTTATTAGACCTCATGGGAATCAGGAATCTGTTCTCTTGAATCTGCCCAACCTGAACTACTTAAATAACCAGATACTATATATGACTCAGAAACGGAGACTGAGATTATTTGTACCAAGTTGCCATTTTTGTCACAGGTACATTTCCAGCCAAAATTTTAATGTGAAAGGGAGCTAATGGTGAAGGCTGATAAAAATATGGATTTAATTGGCTATGCTCTGTCAGCAGCATGCAACTACGCTCACTCTCTGGGAGATGTATTCAGGTAAGAAACAGTCTCCCTTGGGGAAATAATAGGTATCATTTGCTGAATAGCTTAGGTAGCTTAAACACCTGGGATCATGTATCCTTACAGTTAGCATTGCAACAACCTAAGAACAATGAGTTCATGAACATTGCTGCACGGGTGAAAGGTGCCCAATTGAAAAACTTCAGGGATGGAGCACTTTCTTTGACTCCTAACACTGCAGCCTTCCCTCTTCCTCCAACTCCCAGAGGTGGCCGGATGCCTTTCAGGGCATTTGAAATGCAAATACAGTTTTATTTACTTCCTGACCCTTGGCTCAGAAAAACCTGTAGCTCTATAAATGAAAGCAACCTCTGCTATCTAGCAGTTTTTTCTGCCCCTGGTTCATTCTGCCAGGAAACAAGGGCCATGCTTTGATGTCATCATGACACAGCATGGGTGTTGTGGTGACATTTGGGAACTTCTGGTTGGGCTGCCCAGGCAGCTGGCACCACTGCCCTTCATCTTGCATCTTGTCCAGCAGGACGAAGCCTGGCTGGCCAGGTAAATGTCTACAGGAGGAAATTTTGGTCAAACAGACAAAAAAAAAAAAAAATTAAGTGAAATGAAGCCTTCTTCAGCGCTGACATCCTGGGATTCTGTTCCAGACGAGCCCGTTGAGTTGGCAGTCTCGACTTTTGCCCCTTGAGTACATTGTAGAAGAAGAGCTGGTGATGCTGCCTTAACCTCTGTAATAGAAGAAGCAGCTTTTCAATGTTCACATTGTGAACCCTGGACTATGAGCATACGGTTTAATTTTACAGAGGAGAGCTTTGGCAAAGCCAATGACTTTTCATCCTGCTCCTTCCTGAAAAAAATCTGAAAAATTGTTCGAAGTGATTGGTTTCAGTCAATTTGGTGGGATGATGCTGGAAACTGAGTAGTAAAAGGTAAGTGCTGGGAAGGAGAGGACCTCTGAAAATTTCTGAAACTGATTCCACAGAAAACTTTCATTCATCAACTTAATCTTCATGGATTCAGCAACACCTGCTTCACCTGACAAACTTCAATCATTAGCAGAAGCAGGTTGTGTTTTGGCAAGTGCATCGGTCCCTTTGCACATAAAATAACTCTCAGGATATTTGAGTAGGATAGATGTTCATCCCACAATGCAGTGCCTCAAAATTAGTGGTATTTGTGTTTCTAAGTCAGTTTGTATGTTGTTGAAATCCTATGCTTCCCTGCTACTCCCAAACGGCAAAAATATCAGGTTGGTTAGTACTTAACAGAACTGCCTCAAAACATTTTATTCCAGTTTATTCATCTTTAAAATGCCCCTGAGAGTCCTTTTAAATATCTATGTTTGTCTTTTGAGAGCCTAATGCTTAGTTACCATATCTTTGTCTCTCTCAGTCTGGAAAAGATGGCAACTAACTCCTCTCCTTTGCATTTTTTAGTTACTCTTCTATTACAACTTCTGTTTCAAGAGATTATCCCCAGCTGCTACAAACCTGTAAACAGAGTGCTGGTGTAAAAAACCACAGCACCAGCTGCATTCTCACTTGACCCAGATTTGAAGAAAGGCCACCTGAGAAGAAGCCCAGATGTTTAGCTAGCAGTAGGAGCTGCTTCTGCAGAGAATGATCCCTTCCTAGCAGCTCCACAAAGGACACCCAGACATCAGCACCTCCACACCTACCAAGCCATGTGATAAAGCACCGACACAGATTGGAAGTGCCCATACCTCTCCGCAGACAATTTCTCAGACGCTTTCAGGACCTGTTGCAGCAGTGGGTAGTGAGAAATTGAAGCCTCAGCCCCATCCTTATCACCACAACGCTGCAGTCACAGCCCTACTGGTGTCCAGGCTGCAGCTTCTGCTCCATCTGATGCCTGACCACATCACATTCCTTTTACACTAGGGCTGGGTCTTCCCATCTTTCCATTTAGGCATCCACATTCAGCAGCTATGCAGGCTCCCTGGGCTAGCCTGCTTCTCTTCAGGGACCCATGGCGTTCAGTGTCCACGCTTGCCTCTGCTGCTGCTGTGGCAAGGCAACTGCCCTGCCAAGCATACCCTCATTGCCTTGCTTGTATCTAGTGTCCAAATAAATCTTTTCCAGCTGTCTTGTCCTGTCTCTACATCTCTACACCCCGAGGGGTTGCCTTCAGGGAGATGAGCTGGTTTGCTCCAGCTCAGGGCCAGAGAGCACAGGCACTAGCAGTGCACTCAGCAAAACCCAGCAAACGGGCAGCGTGTGGCGAATCCAGTAGCTGCACCAGCAGCAAATGGTGCTCAGCAATGCTATACAGCACAGTCTGACCGTGGAAAGACTCCCTGAATTAGGTCCTAAGATAGAAAAGCTGAGTATGTGATTCCACCTCCTGATTTAAACATCCATATGCCACATGATGACAACTGCCTATTAAACTGCAACTGGGAATCGGCAGTCAAATGTACTTCATCTCATGCCTTGTCCCAGTTACTGTAAAATAGGTATTGCTGAGTCAGTGGCTTGGATTACAGAAATCAGAGATCTTTAATAGAATTTGGCAGCTGTTCAGGTTTGCACAAAGTCCTCTAGAAGCTGATCAAAGTAGGAACACTTATTCTAGTCAGGTTCACACGTGGAAACAAACTTCCCACAAAAATGTACCCAATGAGATCAGTAATGTCATGGAGGTTATCTTCCCTCCACACACCCCACAGCAAGGACCCCTCCTTGCAGCATTGCACTCCCAGTGTTCCTCTTGGGGTCTGCTTCCCTGCTTAGCAGAGATCTCCTTCCTCAAGATGGCCTTTAGCCCCTGGCCACCGGTGCTCCCATTCAGCAGCAGGGCTATGAAACAGCTCAGCATAACTCACAATTGGCCTTTTCCATTGTATTTGCCGCAGCTTATCCTCTAGAAGTAGGTTGGGACCGATGGAGCTGACGTGAGTAGGGAAGGTGGCATCCTCAAAAAGCAGTCCTTGGTTCAGACAAAAGGCTCGCAGGCGGTTGAAGTCCTGATTATTAAATTTCTTCAGGTTCTGGAGGCTTCCTGTTGCCCCTGTTTTTTCCCAGCCCCGCTCCAATGTCAGGGCAGAGCCTGGGGCGAGCATTGTGCCCCTTTCCTGTGAAGGAGAAACATAGACTGCCATTAGTTTCCTGATCTGAAATGGTGCCTTAGGAGTGTGTGGGAAAACAAACACCTCCCCATCCCACTCCAAGAGGATTGTGGAGCAGCAGCTTGCAAAGCTGAGGGCAGTCACAGTGACAAAATCCTTATTAGCTGAGTAGTCATCAAATCCCAACTGGTTTATCTTAAACCAGTGCTGTCACTGCTACAAATTCAATTTTGGGTCTTCCCTGAGGACAGAGAACAAAGCTGTTAGCGGGCTTCTGTGTTAGCACTGAGGTACATCTGCAACATAAGCGAGCATAGGAGATGGAGCAGGAGCTGCAGACACGAGGGAGAGGGAGGGAGTGTGATCAGGGAGGCTGCTCAGAGGTACCCAGGATGCTCCTGGCCATGGATCACACCTGTGCCCAGAGCATCTTTTGAATTAGTTATTTTATTGCCACAAGTGAGTGCTTGACGGTCACTCCATATGAGACCTGAGGAAGGCAGAGTCTAGCCTTTCCTTGGGATCTGCTCCAAAGACCCCAGACAGATTAGGGGGTGGCTTCCTACCATCTCACACAGATGGTCCACCAAACTCCCTAAAGCTACAGTGCTGAGATGGGACCAAGCTGCAATATCCAGACCTGGATCCCACCTGCACTACTTGCTGACATGAGTGTGCACAAAGGTCTAGGGTTTTTGGACTCAGTAGTTCATTTGGATGCCAGCCTTTAAACAGATCTGAATTGTAGATTCGTATTTAAACTGGGCCGTCATTGTGTGGCAACTGTAGCTATTCCCATCTGGAACAAGTTTGAAGCTCCCTTTGTTAACATGTCTAAAGGAAAGGGGCAGCTCACTTAGGAAAAGTGAAGATCTCACACATGCAGTGAAACCCTAGAATGGACAGACCTGTCAATGCATCTGCTGGCACAGCTAGAGAAGGATGCAAGAGATAAAATCTCCTGTCATGGACTCTGTCCCCTTTATAGTTGTCAAAGAGCACAGCAAGACTCTTGCCATCAGATCTACTTTTGCTCCAAACAGCAACAGTGCATTGTCCATGGAGATGCTGGAATGTGGGGTGTGAGGGCTTTTGGGGCACAAGCAGGAGAAGGGCACAGGAAGGTGGAAAACTTGCCTGTCTGGACAGGCAATAGCACCACAGCTTTAAAAGAGCAGTTTGTTCTGTCTGACCAGAGTAGCAACTTTCAGGTGCAATTCACGGAGCAGCGTGGGTGTAGAGAGACACGCATGTGCACCATCTCCCGGGATCTTTCTTTAGCTAAAAAGCTCTGTTGTGGAGTTCAGAGAAGTAGCAGGAAGGCTGTTTAGCCCTGCCTTGACTCCTGGTTCCTCCAGCACCTTTTCTTATGTGAAAGTACACGTTGCTGGGTGAAAATATAACCTGAGATCCATGCCAGCTTTCACCTTTGTTTGCACTTGCCCTCACAAAAACAAATCTTTAACTGTCCTGAGCTGTAATTCCACTTTTTCCTGTCTGTAGGAGAAGAGAAGCCGCTGGAGAAGCCCTGCATTAGCAGACTTTTATGATCAAGAAGGATCACTGTGATCACCTCCTCTGGATTCTTGCATGACAGATGACACTGCACTTGATCCAGCGATCCTGGCCTCTATGTCCTGGCTTCCATTCAATATGTACCTTCTCATAAATTAGCACTGGAAAATTCACCACATGCCCTGGGCAAGCCACACGTATAATTAATTAACTCCATGGTGCTAATTTTTAGCCTGAAGTCATTAAGTTTCAGTTTCAAGCCACCAGGTGCCAGTGACTTTTGGGGGTTTTTTAAGTAGATGAAAGGACTCTTCTAGCAAATAAATTTATCTGTAGACCTGATATGTTAACAGTACACAGTACAAAGAGAGCAGATGGCTCCAGTAAGGGCAAAGTCTCAGAATTTTATTGTGAATTGTTCACACTGGTGAAAAAAACAGACCAGCCACACTGAAGATGTGATACAGCCCCCTCACACATACACACTTTTGACTTGGTGTCATCACCTTTCTTGGTGCTTCAAGTCACTTGGCCTCCTGGTAGTACAATAACAGCCTAGAAAAATAAGGAGTTTCATATCTTCTTGTTTTAATTAAAAGCCCCACCAAAAAAGATGGAGTTCAGAAATCACCCTCAGCCAACAAGAAGAGAGAACATTTCCCTTGGGCTTCCATTTTTTAATACAATGGAAATAAAACTCATGTAATGTACCATAACACGACAAGGGAATGGCTTCTTCTTAACAAATACTCATTTGAAACTGTGCCCAGGCCCCATGCATGCTAAGATCTATTTCTTGCAACAGTGTTCCAGCAAAACTGATTACTAATTCCAAAACTCAAATTAAAACTAACAGAGCTTGAAGGCTGGGTCTGACACGCGTTCCCTCTCTTCTGACAGAGAACAAGAGTTTTTAGCATGTGCGTGTGTGTGTTTAATTACGTTGTTTAACATATTCGGAATAAATTAACAACCAGACTGAAAAAAATAATACACTTAACGACTTTCCCCTTGCAGGAATAGCTTCATCAGCATTGTGTCTGGAGGCACACATGCACAGATACATGAGCTCTACACCCATCCATGCCGCTGTGCAGGCAGCCATGGGGTCACAGGCACCTGGCTTGCACTGTCCTGTTCTACCAGCATGCTCTGCCAGTCACCTCTTCCCGGGCAGCATTCTGAGCCCTGGCCACAGGTTGGTTCTCATGAGTGCATCAGCAATAGCAAAGACCACAACAGCTTTTAAAGCAGAACACTGCCTGCGTAACTGGGGATCTTCTTGCCATTCCTGAACTCTGAGGCAGAAAGACTTTAAAGGGGCAAGGTTATAATGCATTGGGTCTCAGAGCCACTGCCCTTGGTCTGCTGCCTGCCACAAGGTGTGAGGAGAGAGGGAAGGGTCTCAAACAATATGTGAAACACCAGGGAAAACAAGACACTGACTCTCAACTAATGGAGGAAATTATTATTCAGTAGGGGTTAAACATACATTTACTTAGCCCTGGGATCTGCTCCAACATATTTCTTTATCTGAAATGGGAAAGGAATCACACCCAACTTTGCATCTACTGCTCTTTTTTGGTCTCTCTTCCTTCTCAGCAGAGAGAAGTCCTTCTCTTTGCTGTCTGCCTCAGAGGAAGGGTCAAATGGCAAAGGGTGAGGGAGGGAAGGGGAGCAGTGGAAAAGCTGCAGAGAGGAGAAAAAGAGACCAGGTGTGACAGTTGAGCAGTGGAAAAGCTGCAGAGAGGAGAGAGACCAGGTGTGACAGTTGGAAGGGATGGAAGGAAAAGGGAGTCTCTGAGGATATCAGAGCAAAAAAGTTTGGTGACTGCCACAGAAACTAACCTGGGAATCCAAGCACCCACCACGTTCTGCATTAAACAGCTTAAAAGCCATCAGCAAAGGGTGTATCTCATCTCCCTCCAGCACTCATTCACGAAAGATGTCAAGCAACTATTATAATCAGGTACTCAATGGTGGCAAATGTTACTGACAGTTTAATTACACTTTGCATAACGATTTATGTCAGAGTACAGACATAATTTCCTTCAGTGGCTTCTGATATTTTTCACGGAGTAGAAAGTGGAAAGAGGCAATTAGAAACATGTGTCTGCTTCATAGCTGAACTAGCCACCTTCTCCTCTCCACCGATTTTCTCAAAATTTTCCATTACATATTGCCTCAGCTGGGTTTCTTACTTTAAGAAGAGCAGCTGAATTTTCTCAAACACTATAAAGAAGACCAGAAAAGCCAAAAAGCCGTCAGCCCGTCTTTCCATGTTCCCTCTCAAACACTCCAAAATATCAATGCAAATGTCATCTCACCCATAATATTCAACATATGCTACAGTAATGCATGCAGTCATTCCCTCTAAGACCCTGTCATTCATGTATTTGGAGCACTGTAAAAACTTCAGGGAGTCAGTTCCAGAATTGTCTTATAATAAAGAAAAACATGAGCTTATTAACTCTCCTGGCACTCAGAGAAATAAAAAAAGAGCTGTTTTTCAGCAGTTTGCTCACAGTGACAGAAAACTAGAGAGGCAGAGCAGGGGCCTCCATTGGGTCAGCCCAAATCTCAGATGGACAACTGCTCCTTGTACATAAAATGTGCAAAAGCCTTGAGTACCTCAGAAAATCAAACCCAAAGCCAAGCACTTTGGTAGCCCTCCAGGAGATTACTTTCCCAGTGGCATCTTGCATGACCTGCTGCTCCATACAGTCTAAGTACTCCCTCTGGCTATTTATTAAGTCAATTTTCTCCTCGTTTTGCATACATAGCATAGGACAGTTCCAGATACCTTTTTTCTACCTCATTTAACAGCAGCATGCAGTAACTATAGAGTCCTCCTCATTTTAGGATCTCCACTCCCACTTGATCCAATTACTTCTGACAACTTACCATTTTACTATGAGGCTCTTTCTAGGATGGCAACTTCATCTTTTCTTTCCCTCCAGGTAACATTAAGGAGGGAGATTCTAATTTATTCTGTCTCCCCAAGACAAATCACTCTCAACCTGCCTGTGGTGCTTTTCCAGCACTATTACTTGTATTTCACCTACTTCATCTTGTACTGAGTAAAACAGTAAAGTGATGTTTTACCTGCAATGCCTCCAGTGTAATTCTCCAGCCAGCACCAACAGAGTGACAGGCAGGCTGTCAGCATCCCCGTTCTCCTTTATAGAGCAGCTTTCGTCACGCCTTAGGTAAACATAACCAAGTTGAAGTCAAGTTCAAGGCCAAAATGAAGCAATCTGACCTGGGCATAACAGTTTCATAGAGATACCATACTGTGGAGATACATATACACACACTTATTAGCCATCCACAACGAACTGTCTGTTGACCTACGTTGGTTCATAGTTTCCTGTTGTTAACTGTGGCTTCAATTGCTGTTAATCTTACAAAAAAACAGGATTTGCTTGTACCTCCCACACTTTCGCGTTATCTGTTTTTCTCCTCACCCCACCAGGAAA